CCTGGCCTGGGCGGCCCTGCCCGCGGCAGTCCCCGCCGCTGTCCCCACCGCCGCAGCTCCCGCGCCTGGTGGCGCCACCACGCATGCGCCACATCGGTCCCGTCCCTACCGCGCTGCCAGCGCTGAGGGCCGAGGGGCCACGCGCCTCGGCTGCGGGAGAGTTCGGGCCCGGCGGGGAGGCCGGGGCAACAGCGGAGGAGGAGAGGAGGTGGCGGGCGGCGGCTGCTGGCTTAGAGCCAGAGGAGGCCGGGAATTTGCCCGGTCTGAGGCGTGTCTTGTCTCCCGTGGTGGAGCTGCTCCCCTGGGCCTGCGATCACCCGGCCGGGCTCACGCACAATGCCCCCGGGGAGCGCGTCGCTGCTCAGCCCTCTGGCAGCGCGGGGGAAAAGCGTGTATCTGCTGGGTTCTGCCAGGGCCCTTCCGTGCAGGCCTGGGCACTACAGGAACCAGCCGGCCTCGCCCGGCTCACCAGCGCAACCACCAGTGGTTACCTTGCTCTTTACGTGGCAGTCTCAAAGCAGATAATAATAGAATGGTAAGTTCTAGCACAGAAATATGGGGCAAATTGAAAAGCTGAACTGCTTCATTTTTAGAACGTAGCGGTTTAACTCACCTATAAGCTTCGTAAAACATTCAGCACAATTGAGCTGAGCACCTGTCATGAGGCCCTCAAGTGGGAACAGGTAGCTCTTAAAGAACTAGAGTGATTCTCAGTTCGGCTCCGCTGTACAAATTGTTTGCAACTCTAGTGAAACGTGGTAAATGAGTTGATTTGCTCTTGCCTGACAACAAAACCCAGAAAACTCAAAATGTGCCCCATCCGTACAAGAAACTGAATACTCAGTTCCAAAATGTTGAGACAGGTGAGTACAACTTATTGAATGAATCTGGAACTACTGGAACAAGTGAATGAGCAAGAACTCATGAAAACCCTGGTTCACCGAGTTGGGGTTTTCAATGAACAGTAGAAATTAAAGTAGGAAAATACTGAGTTATTTAACTTTTTATAATTTACTTTGCCAAGATCCTAAAACCCACAAACACAAAAATCTCTTAATTGGCACTATCATTCCATGAAATAAAGTAGGAAAGATATAATTTCAGAATTTCAAAAAATGTAAATTTGGTTTTATGAAAGACGATATTCTTAATTTCCATTAAAAGTAGATGGTGAAAACTGTTGTAGATACGCACCGACTACTCGATTACTGAACGAAAAAATGTGTTTTCCAATAGTGTGTATAGAGAATGCAGGAGAAAATGCTAGTCTATAAAAAGGATTAGTTCTCAATTTTAGACATGTTGAATTCTAGGGATCTGTGAGATAATAGATATGCCACAAAAGCTGGAGAAAAACTCTGTGTAAGAAAGATTCAGTCTCCCTGTGGGTGTTTTGAATACTAGTGTTTTTTATTATTTGTTGGCTCCACTTCCTCACACCTACATTTGTAAATCTACTAGTGTTCTCTTTTTATAGTGTCCCAGGTTAAACCTGCTGTTTCACTTGTAGAATATCTGCTAAATTTTTGTAACTAACCTCTGTAATGAACCGCATTGAGTTTCCTAAAGCAGCGGTCTCCAACTTTTTTGGCAGCAGGGACCAGTGCTCTTATGAAGATCTAATGCCTGATGATCTGAGGTGGAACTGAGGCCGTGAGCTCTGGGGAGAGGCTGCAAATATAGATGAAGCTTTGCTCACTTGCCCTCCGCTCACCTGCTGTGCATCCCGGTTCCTAACAGGACACAGATGGATACCAATCCACAGCCCCGGGGGGCTGAGTGGGTTGGGGATCCCCTGTCCTGAAGGACATTGATGCTGGTTGTATAGGAAGGCCTCCATGCCCTTCTCTCTACACCCAGCCCAACCCCAGAGTACTCTCTTTTTGCCTTGATAAGTTAATGAAGTAATGTTTAATATTATGAAAAGCAGGTAAAACTGATTAAGCAGATGATTCAGTAAAATTATCAGTTATATTTTAACATTAACTAATTTGATTATACATATATCCTCTCAAAAAGAATCCGTTAATACTACTACTCTGAGTCAGGCATATGACATTTATAACTATATTTTATTAATAGAAAGGAAGGAATGGAGGAAAGGACAGGGAAGGGGAAGGGAAGGGAAAAGGAAAAGAAATGGAAGGGGAAAAAGGAAAAAAAATATCGATCCAACAAAAAGCTGCCAAAAACAGCAATGAAGGTTAAGTGAGTATAATAATAAACATTCATCTTATGGTTAATGGAGAGTCCACCGATTTCCTAAATAGGACATAGAAACAATGGATATAATTTCTAAGTTGAAAGAAGATTTGAGACAACGGTGACTAAAATTATTGCTGCCAAAAGTATTACTTGTATTTAAATTTGTTTAAATTTAATTAGAATAATATGTCAAGAATTGTATACCTGAAGATGCACACTACCTCATTTCTAAATATAATAACACAAAACTTAGTAAAAAGGCTTCTACACACCATTGTTTGTTAGTAGTCTACATATGCAAATATTATTGTGCAAATAATGTAACATGTATATGAAAATAAAATGAAAAAATCTTGGAGAGAGAAAAAATTATGGAACTGATAAAATTTGGAATGTGCAGCTATAGTTATCCTTAAGAGAATACAGAAGAATATACAAGATCTTAATTAGAAAATATATATATATATGAAGCATCTGAGCTTTTAAAAATGTTTGTTTCTAAATAGTAAAATTACTTGCTTGCCAAATAGAAAAAACATCTCAACACGCAGATCGCTCTTTTCTGACAGTATTTATTGTCCTTTAAGCTACTCTTAAGAAAAAAAGGAAAGAATTCTATAATAAATTTGACAGCTTTATAAATAAAAAATAAAAACTCCAATGGACTATTTGTACTTTGTGTTTAGGAAATTCTAAGGCTGAAGATTATATCTTGACTAAGATTATAAAGCTTAGAGTTAAAGAGCAAAAAAAGAGGCAAATCATTTAGAGCAGCGGTCCCCAACCTTTTTGGCACCAGGGTCCGTTGCTCCTATGAGAATCTAATGCCTGATCTGAGGTGGGGCTGAGGCGGTGATGCTAGCCCTGGGGTCCCCAACCTTTTTGGCACCAGGGTCCCCAACCTTTTTGGCACCAGGGTCCGTTGCTCCTATGAGAATCTAATGCCTGATCTGAGGTGGGGCTGAGGCAGTGATGCTAGCCCTGGGGAGTGACTGCAAATATAGATTAAGCTTTGCTGCTTGTTCGCTGCTCACCTGCTGTGAGGCCCGATTCCTAACAGTACTGGTCTGTGGCTCCGGGGTTGGGGACCCCTGATTTAGAGTACTTGATTTTGCTATTTCTCTGAAACTTATTTTTTTATTAAGGGGACTTTTTGTAAGTATTTAGTTCTTTTCCCCCCTCCACACCCTGAATACCCATTTCCTAGTTATTCGACAACTTAAAATTTATCTTATGTAAGAGGAAAAAAAAAAAAAAAACCAGATGAGTTTACAATCACTGTGCTTAATATAATGTCTTAAAGCAACATTTTGTAAATACTGTCAGCAAATTGGAATGGTGCTGTTTTTTGTCTTAAACTTCATGCATCCATTTTAGTGTTTCTCAAAACCAGCTTTGAATGACAGCTGTTGAATTTATTGCTCCCTTTCTTCCATTCTCCAAACAAGTTCTTTCCGTACATGATTGCTGTTGCATATTTCTATGTACCCACTTGAGAAGAGGCCCATGATTCATATTCTTTCTCTCTCTCTCTCTCTCCCCCCGCCCCCCCATTTCATACATCTTTCTTAGGTCTTCTGAACTCAAGGTGCTTTTTCTTTGTTTTAAACATTGATAAAATGATGGCTGTTCTTGTAATTTGATGCTGAGGTCCTTCACTGTGTTAACAATTTTTGGGCAGATGTACCTGCAAATAGAAAGTGAGCTTCTGGAGCAACTTGTATGTGTAGTGTGTGTGTGTGTGTGTGTGTGTGTGTGTGTGTGTGTTACAAATATTTCTTAAATGACTAATGTCAAAAACATTTATTCCTCATTATCTTAGATTATCTTGAAAATTTTACAAGTAAAAATGCTGACTATTTAACAGTCCAAATTAATCTATATATTCAGCATACTGAGCTAATTGAAACTCACCAAGAAAGATGTGTAGAATGCTGGAGTTATTCAGACAGAAATAAGGAAGGAGGTTGGCACTGCTTTGTTAATGACGTCTTGTTAATTTCTTGTCTTAATATATAGTGGATCTTTATGTGTAGATTTTTAAATATAAATAAGAGGCATGAGTTTTGGAGTAAGACAACCTGGATTTTATAAATACCACAATCCTCCCACCCCAGAAACGTGGCCTTGGACAGCCTCCTGTAACCAGTTTCCTCATTTGTACAATGGGAATAAAATAGTACCTACCTCATGGGGTTCTTGTGAGGATCTCTGAATATCTTAAAATCAGCCATCAAGGAGTGAGTACTCAATAACTTGATATTATATTATTATTATTTTGTAGCTATTTTTATTTTATGAGACAGACACTTATAGAATGAGTTCTTTTGAATAGCCAGTGCTATTTTAAACCCTCATTTGAGTTATTTGCTTAAACAACCACCACGAATATAATATGCAGCCCCTTTGAAGGTATGATTCTTATTTCTTGATAGTTCTCATTAAGTGTTATGCTTTTAAAAATCCATAGTTTGTAAGCCCCATGTGCTGAAGTGTTTGGTTAATCACATTCTAAGCTTGGTGTTTGCTAATATTCTCTCTAAAGCCCTGGCTGAACACGGTTTATTTTCTGGAAGCAGATTTATTAGGGCTATGAAGAGCATGTATTGATGCTTGGTAGTATGAATATCTCTTTATTGGAATAATTACTAGAGAGTTAGGAATTGGGAATATTGACTGCATTTATTTAGTCTTTTGATATGGACAAAAATATTAAAAGCCATCAAACACTAGCATTGCCCTTTGACAGCATCATTTAATTCTAGCTACAGGGAAAATCGTGACATAAACAAAAGCAGCATGACTTATCTATCTTAATTAGGATACTTTCCACAGTGGGGAAAATATCCTCCTTCCTTCAGATATTATGAAGCACTATCTAGACTAATAAAAGAGGGAAAGAATACTATAGCTTAGCGGAAAGTGATGCAGCTGAGAGCAAAATGCAGCCACATAGGATACTTGGCCAAAACAAGGGTCCAAAATAGACTGTGTTAGGGGTGAAATGGCTGGGAAATGTCTGTTAATTCTAAAATAGTGTTGTTTTATGCTATGTGTTTGTAGACTAGCATTATTCCTTAAAGAGTGTGGGTCTGTGCTTCTACTACCCACAGATGTCTATTTTAGTTTAAATGAGTTCAGTAAAATAAAACTTAAAAATCACTTCCTCATTTACACTAGCCACATTTCAAGTGCTCAGTAATCAAATATGGCTTGCTGGCCAGCATGATGGATGGTGCAGATATAGAGCACTTCTGTTATCACAGAAAGGTCTATTAGACAATCAGTACTATATTCCACTTCTTACTCTAATTATTAGTCTCAACCTTC